GACATAATAGTGCGTATGGAGGACCACAAAAGGTGGTTGGATTCTTTAAGCATTCTGGGAATAAAAGGAGCATCCACATATAAAGACCATAAAGAAAGTAATTGAGCACAATCAGTGGCGACAGTTATCGAAGAATTCCGAGGGAGGGAGTCTAATCCATGTAATAAAGCAAAAACTTCTGAACGTAAAGCAGAAGGAAAAATGGAAGAAATAATATTATAGTGAGATTCTAAAATAAATCTATCAGGATCTATAGCAGTCCATGCGTAGGCCATCGAGGATGTCGGATGACTAGGAGGAGAAAGGAAGGAACCATCAATATAAAGTGTAGACACCGAAGAAGGAAGTTGGATATCGGAAGTCCTAGACACTTGATCAGTTATAGGAGGTAGTTGAACCGGAGCAAAAAGCTGGAATAATAAAAGAGATTTGGCATAGCCTAACGAGGCAGAAAGTGAAACTGAGCGAGTATCTGCTTGTATATAAGTACGTGGTTTCGTAGGATAACGGATCAAACTTGATAACGGAACATGAGAAAAACATCCTTCGGAGGGACATCGTTTAATCAAAGTCTTAGAAGTAGAGGATCGCGGAATAGCAGAGGCACAACCTTGGCATGCAGTAAAATCAGAAAGCAAGTCATCAACTGAAGACGCAATCCAATGTGAAATAAGAGCTTCATTACGTGGAGTAGGATAGGTAGTAATCACACGGCCAACAAGAAAAGAGTTAGTATTACGATTAAAAGAAATAGCCCATTGAGGGTTAAACCAATAATTTCGACTAACGTCGATAAAAGAAATGGAAGCTACTGTATGAGAAATAGGAATCTTAAATTGCGGTAAAACAAAAAAGGAAGAAGAATCAGAAATAACAATAAAATTAAATAAGAAAGTAAACCAAGCAGGCACAGATCCTTTGTTCGAAACTCGTTTAAGAAAGCGTAAGTCTTTCCATGAGAGAAGTCGAGAGCCACACGGAGAAACCAGTTGGGCAAGGAAACGAGTGCCAAAATTGTTTCGAACATTTTTCATAGAAGTAAATAAATCTTTCGGTAAAATAGACCGGAGTGGAATCGCCGGACGTAAGTCTTTTCTCGGAGGTCGGAACA